TATATGGGTAGTTCTCCAAAATTAGGGTCTCTTTTTCGGTCCCTCATCTAGTACGGCACCCTTCTAAAGTGGACCCTACTAGGGACCCTAATTTAGAGAACTACCCATTTTAGACCATCCCCGCCGCCAGGGAAGCCCTGGCCTGGCAACCTCATCCAAGCCTCAGATCCGAGGAAAAGGGTGGTTTAGGGTTTATAGGGTTCAGGGGTTTAGGGGGTTTAGGGGGTTTCGGGGTTTAGGAGTTTAGGGTTTTAGGGTATAGGGGTTTAGGGCTTCAGGGGTTTAGGGTTTGGAGTTGAATTTACCACGGGGCCTTCATTGGGTTGAGGAATACTTAGACTAGGCTCCTTCAGTTGTCTTGGTTTCAAGCCCGCGTAGATTCAGGCTCGCATGTGGGCTCAGGGGTTCTCCGCAGGCAGGGCGGTTGCCAGAAAGACCCAAAGCAATCGGAACCATGTTTTGAAAGACCCAAAGCAATCGGAACCATCTGTTGAAAGAGGCTGAAACCCTGAGCACTCCCTATCGCCTGCAGCTTGGACGCCTGCGCTCGACAAAAACCAATGAAGCTCTACATAAGCCCGAGCCGCAAGCCCTGATTCCTCAACCCAAGAGAGCATTGAAGCGCTCCCTCTAGAAATAAACTCAGCTCTTGTTAAGGGGATTCAATATGATGTATCTTAAGTTCGTATAATATGGAAACCCTATGAATTTACTGTAGACCCCCTATTATGGTAACTTAAATGAAACTAAATCCCTTACAAGAACCCAGTAAAGTCCAAGAGGCCATGAGCAAGGGCCATCCGATGCACTGCTGCCAGTCCCGTGAGGTCCGCATCCTTGCACAACTGGCTCTTAGGGGCCGACACATGGGCTTTTTTCCCTCCCACATGGGTTTAGGGTTTAGGGTTTCATGTTCAAAAGGGTCTATAGGCCTAGGCTTCAGTGTTTGGGGCTGCTTTTGTTTAGGGTTTAGGGGTTTAGGCTCTCCCAACTCGGACATGCCAGGCGAGGATCCATAGGTGCGAGTCGGCAGGGTTTCTTTCGTGTTTAGGGCTTATAAAGAGACAAAGCCGTCGAACCCAAACAGTTCGTTGGATGCCGGCGGTTGTTGCTTTATTTAGAATGTTGCTATCATGATACGCACCCCCTGTTTTCCGAAGCTCGCACCATCTGGTTGTACATGAAAGCATTCGCCTGCTGTAGTAGGTCTCAGTGACGGTTAACAGATTTGGCCTTGCTGTTCCACTGCTCCAGGACCCAGAGTGTCATGATATGAAAATCCGGAAGTTGTCCTCCAGGGCCGGAATATGTATCCAACCTCTGAGCCCTAGATCCTGGACTTATACACAAAAGTGACTTCTAAATCCTGACCCTTAGATTCTGCTCGAGCTCCATGAAGGTGTGATCCCCTGACCTCTACACCCAGAATATCATACCTAAACCCTGGAAGGCAACTGGGAGGCACTTCAAAGAGTCCTCGTTCGCACCTTTTTTGCACAGGCTTGATTGGAGCTCGCCCCCTCAACCCTGAACCCTGACATATTACACTGCACCACGACATACACAATGTCAATCCTAACATACTAATCCTATACTACAATACAAAACCCAAATAATGTACCATAACATACTATAAACTACAATTTCAAGTACAATATACTACTACTATACTTGTATACCAAAAACCCAAGGAATGTACCATAACATGCTATAAACTACAATTTCAATTACAAAAAACAACTCATGCTTTGCTTTTTATACCGAAAACCCAAGGATGACTCATCCCTGAACCCTCCAAGACTGAGGCACCCGACCACAGCTGCTGCACTCAAACGCTCCAGGAGGGCCTCGCCATAGAGAGCGCCGTGGATGGCCCTCACCTGCTGTTTTTGGGAATCCGGGAGCTTGGGGGTGCTTTTTTGGGAATGCTGCAGCTTGGGGGAGCTTTTTTGGGAATCCTGGAGCTTGGGGGACACTAGGAGTGATAAGTAAGAGTCATCCCCTTGGTGATAGAAATCCTGCGTTACCTTCAGGATCGGTTGGTTTGAAGAGTGAGGCATGTATGACAAATCGCTACCTTCACTGCAAAAACAAAGGCCCTGCAGTCCAATGAGGATCTGGCTCTCGCATCGAATTCTTGTTTTCACTCCCGCCTCGTGGTAGACGCCCAGGTGCTCCATCCCTTTCTCCTCGCAAGTAAACTGACCGCACAACCTGAAAACTACGAGCTGCGCTTCATGCTCCTGAACAGAACACAGCATACCCAGAAGATACAGATGCCACATTGAACGCTTCAACATGTTGATGACTAGGTACCTATACTAGCATGTGTAAACAAAGAAGCATGCACAAAGACAGAACGCATACAAACAGACGAGCGAACGTTGATTCCTGCCTGCGGGTTTTATGTTCTCCCGGTGCTTACTGCTTTGGTTGTCTGCTCGTTCGATAATCCGTTCCTTCGTAGGTTCCTGCTGTGTTCGGAGAAGGCGCTTTCTGTCAGAAGCAACAAGCGTCAGAAAAAACAGCGCACAATCACACATGCTGAGCATCGTCATTAGAGTGCGAGGTGCAAGGCTTGAAACATGAAGCCCCTGGATGTCAAGTGCCAGTACTCGGGTGAATGGTTTAACTGTCAAGCTTGCACGGATGTACTAGATAAACGGCGGAGGCACATGTTGTGCGCGTTGGTGCATGGGTCGTGTGTGCACTTCGGGTGTTGGTGCGGGCTTGGCACATCGTCAAGGCTCGTAGTTGTATGAAAGGGACATGACCCTAAACCCTGAACCCTAAACCCTAAAACCTCCACCCTTAACCCCAAAGCCTCTGAACCCATAAACCGTCAAGACCGGTGAGATCTCACAGACGTTCAGAAAGCCTCGAACGTGGACGCGGCAGCTGCCCAAACACATTCGGGCTACGGACTTCTTGGGGGGTACTGCGGGAGTTCTAGCACTCTTGAGGGTTTTGGGTTCAGGGTTTTAGGGTTTATTGAGCCTGAAACCCCTTGAAGGTTCAGAGAAACCCTTGCAAGCTCTGACTTCCTGGCCTCAGAGACACCCAAGGGGCCAAACAAACCCCGAAGGCTTCATGGGACTTGCGCCCAAGCTTCACGAGCGAAGCGCATGGCGTTACGCATCTCCGCTTCTCGACCTTTCTTCACAAAGCCTTTAGGGTCTTGCTTGCACTGCTTCTTCAACGGCGGGAGGGGATAGGACGGATGGGATTTAATCTCATAGATCTTCTTCAGATGGCGCTATACCGGTTGGCACGTACCACATAACCCTACAAATACTGATTGCTCAGAACCTGAAGATTTCGTCAGCTTTTTCGCGACGACGTGCGGGGCCACAACTTCCCGCCGAAGACACACGAAGCTAAACCGACGCCATTTCCAGATGAGTAGTCCTCTAAAGTAGTGTCTCTTTTAGGGTCATGTTTATAACGCATTCTTCTGGGTTCCTAAAAGAGGGGCCCTGATGTAGAGAACTACCCACGTGAATGAGCTGGCAAGCATTGAAGCCTGCCGAAACCTGGTGCTGGTCAGGCGACACAGAGTTGCAAGGTATGGTGTTTATGTACCGTATCCCCATAAGGAGCAAGCCCTCTTTAACACCTTCTGTTTGGAGAAAATATTTCTCTGACCGAGCTTCGGCCATGCACATGGAATGCTCAAACATGAACGCCAGACACTGGGCAGGAAAGCCTCTCTTGGAAAGCACCACAACTTCAAGTTGAAGTGAAAACCCTAAACCCAAACTGACAAGATCAAACACATGAGGAAGGATTCAAGCCGAAAGCCTCCTGGTCTGGGCTCGCACTCCGAAGGCTTTGCCCCTCCGCATCCCTGAAACTAACCCTAAACCCTAAACCTACAGTACACCAAATAAACCTGAGCACCCGAAGCGCGAACCCGACACTCTCTCAAAATAGAGCCCTTTGAGGGACCACCTACGGAAACGGAGCCGGATGCCTGACTCGGCAGCCGCCAGCAAACGCGAGGTCACCAAGCAGGCCACGACCTCCCAGCGAGTGCTAGTTCTTCTGGGTTTAGAATTCAAGGTTTACAGAATAGATTATGGTAGAATGGCAGACATATGCCACCTGCACTGCTGAGAATAATGCTCCCTTGCATATCCTTTACCTTAATTAACCCCCAAAACCAACCCTGAATAGGACAGTGTACGCCAAGATTGGTGCCATATAGTGCAACAAGAAAGCATGCTGCTAGTTCATGTCCGCGCTACTGAAGGAACGAAGGAGACTGAACGCTTAGCGATGCTGAGTGGCCTCGCGCTTGGATGCCAGCTCGACCTGCTCAGGAATTGATCTACTCTGCACAGTGAGCTTAGGATGGTAATGTAGCGACTCACTCGGAAATAATTCTAAGTGTCCGTAGATGATCCGATGATGGTCCTCCTTCGCCCTACTCTGGCCATGAGGAACATCCTTTTTAGTGTCAACAAGCTGTGAATCAAGGCCTGCTGCATCGCAGGAAGCTCACACCGAAGCATCGTTCCGGAAGTCCATCATGTACCGGGACACTTACACTGACACCCGGTAGAATCCAACTGCAGTGATTACAGAGATGGCGCGGACTGAGAGCTAGAAAGGCCACACGCCCCCTTGCCCTCCACTCTTACAAGACTTCCCTCGTCGAACAACTCGCCTCGCGTGCGCGTAGCACGGCCGCCTCCATGATGGTTTCATCATTGCTCTCAAGGGCCACCGTCCTGATGGTTTCGGGCTTTGCAAATCCCAGCAAACATGCCGTGCAAAATACGAAGAGCTCATGCGACCAGAAAGCATGACAAAGCAAAACAGGGCAATGGCTGCAACATAATCATAAGACGCAAGGGCCATCATCATCTTCACCATCATCATCATCATCAGCATCATCATCAATGTGGCCGTCGTCGTACTACCACCACCACGACCATCATGATCGTCCCCAGCATCATTGAATCATCATCATCATCATCAATGCTAAACGACTCCAGCACAATCCTCCTCAACATCTGCATGTGTATTCGTCGTGCAATGTTTACTATTCTCGTATTGTAGCAATCGACGACGTAGCAGCTGTTGTCAGTAGCAGCAGCAGCAGCAGCAGCAGCAGCAGCAGCAGCAGCAGCAACGGCAGCATTGCAGCAGCAACAGCAGCAGCAGTAATAGTAGCAGTAGACGTAGCAGTAGTAACGTAATAGTACAGAAGCAGCAGCAGCAGCAGCAGCAGCAGCAGCAGCAAAACCAGTAACATCAACAGTGGTACTAAGGTACAAGTCGTCGTCGTTGTGCGGCTGCGGCTGCAACTGCAGATGCTAGCTGTTTGCTGCAGCTGTTGCAGCTGTGATTGCGTCTGCCATGTCACTGCAAACGACTGTTTAAAGTTTAGTAGATCTAATAAATAATACAATACCATGCCTAAAAGAATAACGCCGAACCTGAGCCCCGAACCTGAACCTTGCTCTTGCTCTCTGCCCGGGCTCAAGTCTGCTTTCAGCGCCAGGATCAAGGACCGAATCGCTTCGTCCCTCTGCTCCCGCAGACCTCAGGGTGTCAGTTGGGAGGTGTACGCCTTTAGGACACCCTGGCTTTCGGAGTCTAGGCTGGGTGTTGAATGGTTTCGAGAGATTTAGAACTTCTGGTTTTTACAGCTCCTCGGAGCCTCGAATGTAACTTCTCCCGTTGCAGAAGGCACGTAGAGCTGCAGGGCACTACTAGCAAGCCTAAGGCCTTGTGAGCACCTGCAAGGGCCACGTGATTTAGGGCTTGGAGGCTTTAAAGTTTCGAGCTCCTAAAGCGTGGAGCTTTAACAGCCTCTGCTTCTTGAAGCTATGGCTGGCGATGCCACGCACACCAACCAATAGTCCCGAGCTGCGCGAGCCCTTTTGACACATGCCTGACTTCGTTGGAGGCGCAGGGCAAAGACTGTGCAGAAGGAGAAGTGGGCCGTCTCACATTGTTTGATGGCACCTTACAGAGACTGCTCCCAAGTCGATGCTCTTCAGTTTGGGAAGGTGCACGCCCCGGTCCACTAGCACCTTACGATCGCAAGAAAAACCGGAGAAGTTTGCAGTCTCCAGGCTCTCAGGCAAGTCATTCTGACTGCAGTGCGAAGCCCGATCCGAAAGTCAAGTGCTGAAGGCTTGCCGGCAACGAGCCGCCGATCATTGTGGTCGGTTGTAGTTATTGAAATCCTTTCCGCAAGTTCTACGCACGGGGCCTTCTTCACGTCATCCACCTGACGTCGCCCACCAAAAGCGTGGAGAACCACTCTCATAAACGCAGCAACGAACTGAGGCAATCAAGTGAGTGGAGCAGCCAAGGTCGCGGCGTTAGTCAAGGCAATGCGTTCCGAGTGAAAGGTCATTTCACTTGGAACGCAATGCCCGTCGGCTCAAACTCCTTTCCATCCTCGAACTTCAAGGCAATGCATTCCAAGTCAAAGGTCATTTCACCTGGAACGCATTGCCCGTCGGCTCAAACTCCTTTCCATCCTCGAACTTCAAAGGCGCTGCTTGCAATTGTCACAGTTCAGGCGTGGGTTCTTTTCAACGTTCAGAAAAAATCAAGAAGGTCAACGTCTCCAAGCTCTGAGGGAGCACTCCTTCGATCAATTGCTGCTTGACGTCGTCCCCGAACGTCAGGTGCCTGAGCGTCTCGGGGAGCATCCCGGGCTGCAAGGGACGATTGAAATCGCGCCCCATATCCAGTGTCCCAAGGCCCTTCGGCAAGAAGTGTGGATCCAAGGGCTGGTTGCAGTATTTCAGCCTCAGCTGCTTGAGACCCTTCGGCAAGCGCCCTTGGCGCTGCCACGCTCCTTCGAACTGCCGGATGGTCAAAGCCTCGAGGCCCGTAGGCCGCACGCCCTTCGCCAGGGGCTGTGCCTCTGAAAGGAGAAGGCTGGTCAGCGTACTCGGAAGCGCTCCAGCTTTCAACGGCTCCCTGAAGAAGCCATGCCAAAGGGCAACAACGTCTTCAGACCTTGTGGCGGAAAGCCCAGCTGAAGGCGTCGAAGGTGAACGTCTCAAGGCCCTCTGGTAGAACGTTTTGCTGCAAGGGCTGGTTAAATAACGATCGATCGGCTAAATCTCAGATCTTTGAGCCCTTTCGGCAACACCACGATATCTGGCAAGGAAACCAAGTCCCGGCCGAAGGTCAGGCATACCAGCCTGCCTCGCGCAAGGGAGAGTTGAAGGCATCTCCGACGCGCAAAGTCTCAAGGCCTTCAGGCAGCGCCCCCTCTTCCAGCGCCTGGTTGAAGCTACGCTGCCGCTTTCAAATTCTTGGTCACGGAGCGTTCTCATGGGCTCCGGGCAAGAGCCTTTCTGACCAGTCGCGGAGTCAGCAGTGTCCTGTCACAAGATTTCTTCACCCCGAGACGGAGCAGCGCCTCATGGCAGCTTCGCCACGGGTCCTCCGCGCACTCATGGTTTCTTTGGGCCGGCTCTGCGGACGAGGCTGCTGCGCATGGCGTGCACGGACCACAAACATGAACACTGAACACCTGCCAAGCATCGGGCTTTCTGCCCATTCGGGGTCTCGGCAAACTGGTGACCCACTCGTACAGCACTGGAATTCTAGAGACATTCAACCACCTCGAATTACCTCAATCGTACTCCTTTGGGTTCCTTATTAGACTTATACTGTCACAAACCACCTCCGACCACCCGAAGTACTGCAAGAAAAGGCCTTGGCCCAAAGCCAAGTCGACCTCCACAAACAAGCGATCGATGTATTCCTCAGTCTGGGGCGACAGGAGGCAGAGTTTCGGGAATTTCTGGTGGTGGAGCGCCAGAAGCTCGGGGCTTAGGAGGGCATGGCGATTTGGTGCTTTGGTTCGACTGTCGGACCTTGGCAGCTTCACACCCCCCGTCGCTAGCCGGATTTAGTGGCTGGATCCTCAACCGAAGGTTAAGCCGACAGAAACCTTCCAGCGCAGGTCTGTGTCCTTCAAGTGGCGGTCTACCAAGACCCAATCCGACACGTCGCAGGCATGTGAACCCTAAACGGTCCTTAAGCCTAAGCGGACAAGCTGCTGGGCTTGGGGGTGAGCCCTCCGGGCTCTCACCGTAGTCCACCCAGATGATAACGTCGATGTCGGAAAGGCGTTCTGCTTGCCTTTCGGGTTCAGGGCTCTTTTGTTGGCCTTGATTCACTGTTTCGGGTCGCTCCGGTCCACAAATCGGAAAACCTGCGCTCCTGATCCTTTGCCAGGGCGATGAACTTGAGCCTGCAAAGAGCTAAGTAGCTCTGTTGACCTCACGAAACCTGACATCGTTCCGTCAAAAAACACAATTAAACGTCCAGCCCCTAACGACTAACGGCGAAGGAACCAAGAAAGCCTTGGCATTCTTGGCATGTGGACATCACCCCGATATCTTCATCCCGGCTACAGGAAGTTGTAGTACAAAAGCACTCTATAGCGTCTACACTGTGCTCCTCATCTGTGCTGCCGCGGAAAAGGGGGATGCTCTCGCCACTGCGATCCAACAAAGAGACCCTGGCAAAAGCTCGTAGGCCTTTGCTGCCGCTGGCCCGAATCCATCCTTTGCAGGAAATATGAATGCAGGGTTTCGGCGCTCGCACCCGGACTGACTAGGTCGGCCCTGCACCCCACGCTCAGAATTGCAACCAAAGCAAGTCCATGTTCTGCTCAAACAAGCCCAGGTCATTGCCTCGTGACAAACTCCACGCACAAGACATAAACCAATCACACCCGTAACCAGACAACCAACCGATCAACGAGTTGGCGCCATCAAGGACTGCCTACCACTGTACTACTTAGTTACTGCTTCCTGTCGTCACAAATAACTTTCAGGTGCTGTGGGTACGGGCACCTCGAGAACAGGCACAAGTGGAGTGCACAGTTGCGACCAAATTCATCCTGCGATTAGCTTAAGGCCTATCGTAGTGCCAGGTGAAATCCACCTCGTGGTCACTAGCCCACATTTTTGAGACTCCAAAGCACGGCTAATCTTAATCCGATCACTCAACCAAAAACTGCTAAGTCTTACTTCCCACTGCTCACGGTGTCTGCCCGCAGCCCTCAGCACCCGGCTTTTCAGTACAGCAAGTTCTCAGACCCACACCATCCAGCGTCTGCAGATCAACAACGTTTCAGGGCAGTAGCGGATCTTCCACACTTCTACACATAAAGCCGTGGGTGCTGCGACCTTACACCCTTCAAGCCCAACGACACACTCTGTCACTCGAAGATGCGGTTAAAAAGTCAGCAAAAAGGGAACCTTTACACCCCCAGGCCTGCTCAAAACCCCTCAGCGCCAAACAAAACCCAGCCCGAACACCCTGCATGTTGCAGTACACTGTAGTGTATCATGTTGTACTTATAGTATAATAATACAGTTCGTGTATTTATATTGTGTTGCGTTATATATCAACGCCCAAACCTTGGAACTCAACAACCCGAAAACCTCCTACGTAGAACTGTTGAGCTGGCGTCGAAGCCCCTTTAGCACGCAAAACTCCAGAGCTACAATGCTTTGGCTCTAAGCCACACAACCAGCTTCCAGGCAGAAGTGGCGAACTCTCGCGAAGGCTGCTGGCCTGGACTTTCGGGTCAGGTGGCTTCGGGGTTCCGCGCAGGGTTTGGGGTCTATAATTAGGGACCTCAATAATTAAAATAGGGTTGTGGGCTCCTTTTGCTTTTGTCATCTTAAGGAGCCCTAAGGAATAATATTGGTAATGATTCAGGCTTCTCTAGCAATTAATGCAGTTTGGGTTCGGTTCCAAGGGGGGGCAACACTTCTGCTACAGCAGGGGCCTTTGTTCAGGGTTTCGACTAGATTTCAAGATTTTGTGAGGTTTGGACCGTTCAGGGCTCACACCAACGGCTCTGCGATGCTGGAAGCTCGATATTGCTAAGCTTGCCATTCATAGAAGGATCGAGCAGTTTAGGAACCCCTTGCCTTGCACATGTACGACGAGATTGCAGAGCAGCAGCACTGACCAATTATGTTTGCAGACTCATATAATTCTAGGGGGCCTTCAAACTCCGAATAGGGCTTGGGCGTATTATGACTAAGTCTTCAGACCCCACTTTAGTGACTTTCGTGGTTCGGTAGAGGCCGGCCGTCAGAGAGACGAAGTCGAGCAGGACCGCCGGCTCGAGTTTCTGTGTCCTTTCGTTGTGAATGGGAGACTCATGGCCGCAAGCTATGCATCCACGACCTAAGGATCAGACCACGGCAACCCGTGGCAGTGCCTGCTGCTGAGGTTCCAGGGCCGGAAAAAACTCTAATATCGAGGCCTTAAGATTTAGAATAGGGTTTTGGGCATATTAATAATAAGGAAACCCCCCAAAACAAATGGGGGGTTGCCTAAATGTCTTTGCCTGAAGGTGGCCGAAATGGTGTGTTCCTTCGGGCCCGCCAAGCGTGGGGAAAGTGCATTAGCGCAGACTAATATGGTAGTCTTC